TTCCCTGTCTGATGAGTCTCCAAATTTCATATTTTGGACCCCTCATCACGTGGCCTAGGTATTCCAGTTTTCTGGTTTGTATAGTGGTGATAAGCTCGAAGATCGAAATCGAAAAGTGGTAACAGATAAAGATAAGATAATTAAGGTAGTTGAAGAATTTTACACATAATTATATAGAGAAAGAGGTAAGAAAGACGGCACCAAGTTGAGAAAAGTCTAGAATGTGGGTTTAGAGCATATCCCAGAAATAACAATCGAAGAAGTCTCAAAGTCATTAAATCGAATGAAAAACAATAAGGCAGCTAGTGATAACCAAATCGTTATTGAGGCAGTTAAAGCAGGAGGAAAGACAGTATTGAAAGTATTGACACAATTATATAACTCATGCCTTTCAAAAGAGGTTACACCATCTCAGTGGAATAAAGCTGTTATAGTAGTCATGCACAAGAAGGAAGATATAAACAGAAGATAGTTATGAAGATAATAACTAATATGTTGACATCAAAACTAGACTTCTATCAACTTTGCGAGCAAGCAGGATTTAGAGCTGGATACGGAACAAATGATCATTTGCAAACCATTAAGTCATTGATTGAAAAAACCATTGAATATAATACACCCCTGATACTTGTCTTTGTCGACTTTAAAAAAGCATTTAATACGGTCAATCAAAGTGAAATGCTCCAAGCTCTAACACAATGTAGAATCGATCACCGATACATATATCTCATCAGATACATCTATCAACATACTACAGCCTGTGTAAAACTTAATGAAGATACTGGAATTGTTCATATTGAAAGAGGCGTTCGTCAAGGAGACAACATGTCTCCAAAATTATTTACAACTTTACTAGAATACGCTTATAAAATAATAACTAATAAGGGCATCAATGTAGATGAAAATTTTTAAAATAACCTTAGGTTTGCAGTTATATCGTTTTTTTTGCAGACAGCTTTGATCAGGCACAGATAATGCTCCAAGAACTCCATACTGCTACAAAAAGAGTTGGTCTTAAGATAAATTTTTCAAAAACACAATTTATGACAAATTTAGTCCACAACAAAAACATCTCAGTAGAAGACAAAGATATTGAGCCAGTTGACTCCTATAAATACTTGGGCCATGAGATCAGAATAAGTTGAGACAACCAAACAATCGAGCTGAAAAGAAGAATAAACCTCACTTGGGCTGCATTTGGAAGGATGAAGGATATTTTTAGGTCTAAGATTCCAATGTGTCTGAAAATAAAAGTATTTAATCAATGTATTTTGCCAGTGATGACCTACGGCGCAGAAACCCTAACGCTCACAAGAACAACAGTGAGTAAACTACAAGTTGCGGAAAGAGCAATGGAGAGAATTATGTTAGGGATTTCTCTATGTGATAGAATACCCAATGCTACTATACGCAAAAGATCAGGAGTAGCAGACGTTATTGAAAGGATAACAACACTAAAGTGGAACTGGATAGGTCATGTAGTAAGATCAGTTGATGACCGGTGGACAAAAAGAATTTTGGAATGGAGACCCCGAATACAAGCTTACAGAAATAGAGGTCGACCCCCAACGAGATGGACAGATGACATAAAAAGAGTGACTACAAATTGGATTCTGCTATGTTCAGCAGTGGACGTTAGAGGCTAGTTGATGATGATGATGACAGTGGTGATTATTTCTGTTTCTTTACCAACCCTCTCCAGTACTTCTTTATTTGTAGTTCTATCAGTCCATGATATTTTTAATACTCTGCGGTATAACCAGAGTTCGAAAGCCTTGAATCTTTTTAAATTGCATTTTTTTAATGTCCAAGTGTCAGCTCCATTTAATAATATTGAAAATATCTAACAGCGAATGGTACGTGGTCTGATCTCCAAATTTAGATTTTTGCACGTTAGGAGTGGCTTCATTCGTATAAATGCTGATCTGGCAATCTCTATTCGCCTGTTTATTTCTACAGTATAATCATTGGTTTCATTGAACAACGTTTCTAAGTACTGATATTTTTCTAGTTGTTCTACCACGTTACCATTGACTATCAATAGGTGATATGTATTTTGTAGTCTTTTTGCAATTAGCATGTAGTTTGTTTTTATAGAACATTATGCCAAAAAAAAACTCACTACAGAACGGCAGAATTGATTACAGGTACACGGACCTAATAACAAACATAATACAAAAATGCGAGAACCACAATAAAATTGACGAACGAACACGCTACAGAACCAATAAAATTCGAAAGAGGAATTAGGCAAGGAGACACAATATCGCCAAAATTGTTCAATCAGGCTATGGAAGACATATTTAAAAAGTTAGAATGGGATACATACGAAATAAGAATAAATGGAGAGCTCTTGAACCACTTGAGATATACAGACGATATAGTCCTGATAACAGATAAGAAGGAAGAATTACAGAAGATGGTTGAGGAACTAGATAGAAAAGCGACAGAGGTAGGTCTAGAGATGAACTATAATAAAACCAAGACTATGACAAACCAAGAAGACCAATTAGAAATAGTAGTCAAACAGAATAAATTAGAGCAGGTGGCAGAATACATATACCTAGGACAGATAATAAAGCTGAACAGGGACAATCAAACAGAAGAAATAAAAAGAAGAACTAGACTAGCATGGGCCTCATTTGGTAAACTATCATATATTCTAAAAAATAAAAAGTTCCCTCAATATATGCGAACGAAAGTATTCAACCAGTGCATTTTACCAGTTATCACATATGGCTCACAAACATGGACTTTCACAAAGGAGAACATCGACAGGATATCCAAAACACAAAGAGCAATGGAAAGACAGATGCTGGGTATCGGTCTTAAAGACAGGAAAAGAAACTCATGGATCAGAGAAAAAACAAAGGTGAACGATGTATCAAGACAGGTTGCAAAACTTAAATGGAACTTCGCCGGTCACACTCTCCGGCAAAAAGATGAAAGATGGAATAAGCGAATTCTACACTGGAGACCATGGGAAAAGAAAAGAAAAAGAGGAAGACCACAGATGAGATGGACTGACGATCTTAAGAGAACGGCAGGAAAGGACTGGATGCAGATCGCCTAAAATAGAGACCAATGGAGATTAACAGGGGAGGCCTATGCCCAAGAGTGGGCGTTTAAGGCTGATTAGATATATTAGATATATTGTTTTTTTAGCGCTTATATTAATTCATATCTCAGCACTATTCATACTCAAGGTTTCGATAAGATGTTGTAGATTCTCTATACTCGTGGCTATGATCATAGTGTCGTCTGCATATCATAAGTTGTTAATTATTTTCCGTTTACGGTGACTCCGCTTCGATATTATTGAGCGTGTTTTAGAAAATTTTTCAGAATATAAGTTAAACAAAAGTGGCGATAAAACACATCCCTGTCTAACTTCTCTACAGATCTTCATTTCTTTTAAGTTTTGCCCGTCAATTTGAACTATGGCACTTTGGTTCCAATATAATGTTTGCACTATATTTATGATTTTACTGTCAATGCGCTTGTTCATAAGTATTGATATTAGTTTTTCGTGTCTTACTTTATCGAAAGCTTTTTCATAGTCAACGAAGCACAAGTGTAGATCAACGTTTACATCCCGACATCGCTAAATCAATATGTTGATGGCAAATAGTCCTTTTCTAGTACCCATTCCATTTCGGAACCTGAACTTATGTTAGACTATTATCTTATGTATTACTTTTAGCAATACTTTCAACGTATGACTCATGAGGCTAAGTGTTCAATAATCAGAGCACTTCTTTACTGCCTGATTTTTAGGAATGGTTATAAATGCTGGCTTCAGCCACTCTTGTGGTATTATTCCCGCATCGTACACCGTGTTGAATAAATCTGCTAATACGTCCAAGTTATCCTCTTCCACTAGTTTTCACAGTTCTACTGATATTTCATCTAATCCAGCTACCTTATTGTCTTTAGAGTTTTTGATAGCATATTTAATTTTATCTATCGTCTTCTGTCTCTCTAAAGGATTTAATTGTTATATTTTTTGCATTTCACCTCTTTCGACCCATTCCAGTCTTTTCTCTTATTTTTTTGTGCATATTTCTCATATCATATTTTGTTTCTAGTTCTTCTATCTCCTTACATTGTTTCATTAAATAGATTTCCTTAGCTGTTTTAATTTTTTCCTTAATTACTCATTTTATTTATTTATGCTTCTGTATTTTTTTCCTTTACATTTCCTTCTTTTTTCATGTGTAGTAGTATTTCTTCTGTCATCCACTGTTTTTTAGCCTTTGACCTATGTTATATCAAACTTTCTTGAGCTGGTGTCAGTATAGTGTTTTTCATATTATAATGCTTTTTATTTACATCCATAATTTGTTTGTTGTCAGTTAGTGTTTTTTGCATATTAACATTCACATTTATTTTTTAATTCGTTTTTATTTCTTCGTTTTGTAGCATTCTTACATTAATTTTTGGTTGTTGTTTTTAGAGTTCAATTCTTTTTAGTTCTTTTTAGTTTAGTTCTTTATAGAGTTTTTATATCTGCTATTTACGAGTATAAAGTCTATCTGGTTTCTGACAATGTGGTTTTCTATATGTGAAGAAGACGTCCATGTATATAGACTTCACAACAAATAAAACTCTACAAGATAATAATACGCTCAATCCTAATATATGGTTCAGAGACCTGGACTCTAACAAAAAGTAATGAAAACATGTTAGCATATTTTAAAAGAAAAGTACTAAGAATCTATGAAGCAGTGAATGACAAGATTTGGTTAGTGAAAGGCAAGTGAAAGACAAGTGATAGGTAGTTTTTTAAAAAGTAATCAGATAATATATGCCCATTAAGAATCAAATTTATATCTAAGTTATATTATTTATTTAAATGATATTGACTTTTATGTATAGTAGTATTTCATGAAATAAATTAAAGTACATTTTATAAAAATAATTTTTGTGGCTAAAAAAGCTTTAACTCATAAACTAAGTATTTATGATTTATACAAGTGATCCAAAATGTTTAGTCTTACCACTCTGCTCTGTTCGTTTTAGAAGATTTGTAGTATAGAAATCCATGAGTCCAAGTTGATACACATACTCAGCATAATGAATCTGCTCAATGGGATCGGTATATCCATTACCAATAGCTAAACCCTTAAGATTAATTTTTAGCTTGGCTTCCGGATTTGCTTGATGAATTTTATAACTTATAGCGGGAACATATTTCCCTGCATAAGACTCTCCTGTAACGTAAAAGTCTTGATGTTGGTACTGATTAAATAGGGTGAAAAACTGCTGTAAAGCTGCGTAAAGATCAGTAGCTACTTTAGTTTGATTGGAAGCATATCCTTCAGTGGTAAAACTCCATCCAGTTCCAGCTGGCTGATCAATGTATATAACTGAGTTGTTCTTATTCCAAGATGTCTCTCTAATACCAAGGTTACCATCTGAAAAAATAATATTTATTTAATGTAGAAAATTATAGTGAAACTGTTTAATTGAATTGAAATGAAAGCAACTATTGGAGCTTACTTAATGTCTAGTTTCGAGGTAATATAGATATTAACTACCAATAAGATTAAATTATTGTCAGGTTTTGTAGCAGAAATAGTGCAAAAGCCACCGTTGGAAAGACGGCAAAAATATGGAATGACTCTCAAATTTTATAAACTCTAAAAAATAGGTTGATCAACTGCTTCATATTTCCAATACTGACATACATATGTAATTATTGGACTTTACAATAAGCAGAAAGAAGAAAGATGGATGCCATTTAATGTTCTGTTGGAGAAAAAAGTTACAATTTTCGTGAATCGACCACAGGACAAATATTTTAATTTTAAATAAGCTAAGAGTCAGCAAACACCTATCCCGCAAAACCCATATCCAGCAATTAAAATACTTTGGACACGTTATGGAGAAGTGATAATAAAACGTACCAAAAGGAAAGTGGACAGAAGAAAGTTCACTTACGAGCCAGTTGTTAATAAGCGGCTCCATGACACCATTGACTTTAGCCAGGACTTTGTTTTTGAACGGGTTGTCAACAAGCCTAAAACAGCCGACACAACAAGGCATTGATTTGTTAAAGTACATGTGGATAGTGAATTGGGCATTGTGCATACTCTGCTTGTCGCCTTCTTTAAAGATTGAAAGCTGTTATCGAAAGTCTAATATTTGACTTTGTATAGATTTAAGACTATTTCTTATTATCTATGTATTACTAGGCGAATATCGTGGTTTCAACACATTTCAAACAGAGAAGTCTTGAACAGAGTAGGTGAAGGTGAAGGTGACTTAATAAAGATGATAAAAAAGAGAAAACTCGAATATCTGGGGCATATAATGAGAGGAAGTAGATACAGGATAATGCAGTAGATACTCAACAAAACGATCAACGGAAAAAGAGGAATTGGTAGAAAGAAATACTCATGGCTCCAAAACCTTTGTCAATGGACTGACTTATCAGCAGATGAATTATTATATGCCGCGCAAGATCGAGAACGATATCGGCAAATCGTCATGGAAGCTACTCACGCCTAAAACTTGGGCACGGTACTCAAAGAAGAAGAAGATGTATTACTATGTACTCCAGTCGTCAGATACGAAAATGCCTCTTCTTCTTCTCCTTCTTATAGTGCCGTGCATCTATAATAGTGCGTTGGCGAATTATCTTAAGGCCAGACGTCTGTCTTTTGCGGTATGCAAAACATCACCAGTGTTATTTATGCCTGTCCAATTCTTTATGTTTAGTAGCCACGACATTTGTTTGCGACCTACTCCTTTCTTGCCTTCAATCTTTCCCTGGATGATTAGTTGAGGGATTGCGTATTTTTTTCCTCAAAGAATATGGCCGCGGTATCCAATTTTTCGTAATTTTTTTTGAATTCAAGAAGTTAAGGAAATTGGTAAAAGAAGCAAAAAAGGAATCGTCGAAAAAATTTTTATCAATAATAAACAGTTCTATCTCAACAGCAATAGTGTGGGAACAAACTAACAAAATGTCGGGACGCCACACAAACTCATCAATAAGATTTTTAGAATTTAATAACAAAGTTCATACATCTAGATCTGGAATAGCCAATGTATTAGCTTCATCCTACGCGTCATATTCAAGTAACGATAGCTATATCAGTTGTAATACAAGAAATATCACTCTTTCCGACACTGCTGAGTATTTCACAATCTGGTGTTCTATTCTTCGTTTGACCATGAAAGCCACTCCTCCTTGGCCGTGGTTCTCTTCTGCATTTTATTGGTATATAGAGTGTATATATATTGGTATATAGAGTATTTATATAGAGTATGCGTGCCCAGATTTTAGGGTGGTCTTTTTCTCTCCTTGAAGTCTAATGTTATAACATGTGGTCCATATGTATGGAATAAATTAATTTTTAGCGTTATTATATGTCATTAATATTTCACATATTTTACTATGTGAAAAAAACCTAAAACAGGTCGATTTTTATTCTTAAAATGACAATTTACAGCATGACAATAATATCCCTCTCCAGCCCCCTTTTGAATTATAAGCACCCCCTCAAAAATTTTAAACAGCAAAGGGGGTCGTGTGACACCTTGTTAAAAAGGGATTTTAGTCCTCTGTTCAGAAATTTAAAGTTTTTTAAGTTTGTGCAATCATAACTGAGAAAATTGATTTTTACAATTATATTAAATGTTTAACTTGACCACCATTATTCACTGCTTAACAATAACTAAGGATATTTTGGAATTCGCATACAATGTTTTGTATGACATCGGGGTTATTTTGTTAATTTCTTCCGTTATCCTAACTTTTATATCAGAAATATTGCCTGGTCGATTAAAATGTACTTTAGAAATAATCAGGTATTTTCGTATCCGTTCTGTTAAACATTAGGGGAAAAACTTTCATGATAAAATAATATTAGTCAAAAAGCCAAATAAACAATTGATATGAATCTAGTAGGTTGCTCTCATTTAGGCATTTAAGGCCGATCCTCGCGATTCTGGGCATAGGTAAATTCCAATGTAAAAGTTTATATCAAATAACGCAAAAACTATGGCAGATATTGAGATGATTCTTTTTTTATATGGAAGGTCTAAAAAAGTTCTAGTGCACTATTTGGTTGTAAATTAATAAATTATTTAAACAATATTTTTTTTTCAAATATTTTTGGTTAAAATAAACGAAATTTTTTTTTAAATAGGGCACTACAGAATTTGACCCACTTTCCGAATCTGTTTTTATTTTTAACATAAAGTGTAACACAAAGCAGCTATTTGATATAAACTTTTAAAAAATTTCAAATTTTTGCTAAACGCAATTTTCTCTCCGTCAGTACAGGGTGTCCTTGTCGGTAGCTTCTGGATTCTCGCCAGGTAGGTAAAACCTTCGGAGGAGGATAAATAAAGTTGAATAACATTATTAGGGCTTATTCCGACTTTTGACAAACCAGTGTATTTATTGTATTTAAAATAGGAAATGTTATATAAATAAGCAGTAAGTACCTATAATTTTATTAAATTTTTATATGAATAGAAATATTTTCTGTTGATTTTCCATTTTCTTTCTAAATATTTATACTGTTTTTATAATAATACAATTGTTTCAGTATTTGCTTATATAATAATAATTTATTATATAGAAACAGCGTAGAGTTTTGGTCAATCATCCAATACATTTTTTTGTATTTCAATCAGAATTATTATTTCCTTTTCTTCTTTACATGAGCTCAAAGTAATAACCAAATTTGCAGTATTTGAATATGAAATTTAATTATGTATATTTATTGGTTAGCAACCTACCAATCGTAAAATCAAATACTGCTCAAAGAAACAATGTACGGTCTCGGAACCGGATTGATACTATGAAGACGACTACGCCAAGAAATAAGGACAAGCGAAAAACATCCAAAACCCAGATGAGAATTACTTGGAATATCAGATCACTCAACTCAAGGGACCAAGAAATAACCCAAGTGTTGAAAGAGAAAGAAATGGACATTTGTGCTCTACAACAAACAAAAAATAAAGGAAAAGGTCAATCAAAATTAGCTGAATACATACTAATCTACAGTGGAGTAGCAAAAGAAAATAGGGCCAAAGAAGGTGTAGCCTTACTAATACACCAAAGGTATCAAAATTACATCAAAGAGTGTCAATACATATCAGAAAGAATAGTAACATCAAAGATAAGAATGGAGAAGGAAAACCTGAACATTATCGGAGTATACGGCCTAGAAAATAATAAGCCTCAAACAACAAGGGAAGTGTTTTACGACCAATTACAACAAGTAGTAGATCAAGTCAAAGAAAAGATGATAATTCACAGCTAATTTGATTATAATAATTAAGGAACCTCATTTTTTGCCATGTTAAGGAATGGGATTTGTATTTTTTGTTAAAAAATTTGCACAAAAATTGTACCTTTACAGGACCCTCTACGAATTTTTAAAAATGTAGTTCAAATGGTGACTAGGAAGAACCTACAAATCCAAACCGAACAAGCAATTTCAATTACTATTTATAACTGGGAATAAGCCACATTAAAGATAAAAATACATTTATTGACGTTTCAATTTCCAATTCGGAAATCGTTCTCAAAATACAAATAGTAAATTAAACAAATTTTGTTTTTTGTTACATAGTGATAAAATTCTTCTGATAATTTAATTTTATCTGACTCATTTATATTGACAATTCAGACATACATTATGCATTTTAAAGTAGACGACTTTAAAATGATATTGCCAATATTGTTGAGTTGCGCTCCTGGGACGACTTTACTTATAAGATAGTTCATTCGATTACATGAAATCAACTTTAACTTGAGAATATCCGTCAGAAAAAATCATAGCATGTAATTCGTCTTTAAAAAGACAAACACATGACATGATGACAGTAAAATTCTCCTGTTAGTGATTCCATAGTAAATTATGAGGGAAAAACCAGGAAAAAAACCTCATAATACTATCCCGACATTGTAAGTATTTGTTCGTGAATTTAGTTTACCTTCAACAAACATCAAAATTCTGATTTTATGTTACGTTATTTAAAAAACATAAATGATGTATCCTCTATATGTTACTGACTTACTAATACTGGTATTTTCTTATTAATAACTTCCTCTTTCAATATTGGTAACCAGTATGATTTCATGTAATCGAATGAACTATCTTATAAGTAAAGTCGTCCCAGGAGCGCAACTCAACAATATTGGCAATATCATTTTAAAGTCGTCTACTTTAAAATGCATAATGTATGTCTGAATTGTCAATATAAATGAGTCAGATAAAATTAAATTATCAGAAGAATTTTTTCACTATGTAACAAAAAACAAAATTTGTTTAATTTACTATTTGTATTTTGAGAACGATTTCCGAATTGGAAATTGAAACGTCAATAAATGTATTTTTATCTTTAATGTGGCTTATTCCCAGTTATAAATAGTAATTAATTTACAATGCCACAAGAAAATAGCTTCAGAACAATATTAAGCAATTTCAAACTAATAAAATTTTCTATATCTCCGGATCTACTCAATGGATTTTGATCATTCTTATTTTTTTATTTTGTATGATCTATTTTTAATTTGTATGTAATTTCTACGTACATTAGGAATTAGTAATTTGTTTATATATTAATTAATTAATAAATAGTCTAGTTTGTTTAAACAATTCGTGCAAAACAATTTTCTTCCAAAAATCTATTTTTTTAATACTAGTATCAATAATCATAGAAACAGTCGCGTTTTTTGCATTAAATTGTCAATAATTAAAAAACAGCTCCAAATTCAACGCAAAAAAAAGAAGTAGGTTTTCTTCCTAGAGGTCTACAATAACTAAAAAAGTTGTCAGCGACCTGGATTATTGAGTGTCACGAACATGGTCTATTTTTTGCTTATTTCCCTGGAGTATATATTTGATTAACATCTGTGTAATTTCTTTGTCGCTTCCTCGCTGGTTTTGCATATTGCTATGATAGCAATATCTTCGGTAAATGTTGCAATTGTATATTTTCTAGGACAATAATATAACACGTATACAAAAGGTAAAGACACTTCTTTGTGGCAGCCCTGCTGTAATATCTGTCAATTCCATGTATGTTTCTTCCTGTTTAATTCTAAAATATCTTTCCAAGATGGAGGAGTCAATTATTTGAGAGTATCGTTTTGGTAAATGTAGTCTTAGTTTATAGTTATGGCGTCTTTGCCATACTTTATCATATACCTGAGTCACATCCTAAATTATTGATATAGGGCTGAATGCTCGAATAAATGAACTTTAAAAAATGAAGGCAAATTTCGAGCACAAATTTAATAATCAAATCTTGCCCAAGTACTTTCGCTTTCTACGGCATCATCAGGGGCATCTGCTGGATAGACCAAATTTGACGAAGTAAGTCTAAAATGTTAATCACAAAAAACTTTTATCATCCATTAACTTCGAGCTTTTTATCGAAGTTTATTAATTTTCTTCATTTAAAAAAACTTTTCTTGGCTTATTTCAGATTCCCCTGATGATGCTGTAGAAAGCGAAAGTACTTGGGCAAGATTTGATTATTAAATTTGTGCTCGATATTTGCCTTAATTTTTCAACGTACATCCTAAAATGTCAAAATGTCCATCATATTATCCTTCATGATCCATATTTCACATCCATATAAATAGTTATACAGTATATTTCATCATCATCATCATAATCATCATCAATGACGCTACAACTCTTCGTAAGTCTTTGCCGCGGTTACTATTACCTTCCATGTTTGTCGTTCATGTGCCAGTAATTACCATTGTCGCACTCCCATTTTCTCTAGATCTAGGAGTTTATTTACATATATTATTATAACATTTACATTTAAATATTCATTATTATAATTTTTATTTGAAACACCTTCTGAAGAAACATTAGACATAATTCTATATTTATATAGTTTCATTTTATTAATTTTAATGATCGTGATACTAATTAGATAAGATTTTTATTAAAATTTTTATTTGAAACACCTTCTGAAGAAACATTAGACATAATTCTATATTTATATCGTTTCATTTTATCAATTTTAATGATCGTGATACTAATCAAATTTTTATGATATATAATAATAATCTTTTTTTTATAATTTTTATTTTCCGTAAACTTTAATCTACATTAAACTTCAGACAGCCAATTTTTCCGTAAAAAAAATAAAAAATAAATTATGTATGTACATTTGTTACATTGTAAATTTATGAATAGATTATATTACTTTGATCTGGTATTATATTTACTCAAAATACCACTAAAGAGATTTATGGTCTTATTGTAAGTCAAAACCTGTCACTGCAGGGGTTGTCTCGGTGTATAATCGGCTCGAGTAAAAGGTAAACGCATTTTTGACCTGGGCTTGAAAGAGATCTAAACGAAGTTTAGAATATTACTTCATGAACAGATTTTGTTTTCGTAAAGAAAGAAATTTTTGAAATAGAGATAGCAAACTGAAATTTACCGTTAGAATTTTCGAGGATAAGCCTTAAGGTTACTAGAAGACGTGAGTATAATTTTGTGCGCATATTAAATTTAATTGTGGCTCATCTGTCCGAGACTAAAAGAATAGACATTTTAATTATGATTGGTTGTGGTAATAAAACAAGAGCTCAAAAGGAGGTTTGTAAAATGTTAGTAATGAATACCCTGGTCAACAAGTTTCGCAGTCTACAGTTATCACAATTGCAAAGAAGTTTTGTTATACTGGACATGTAAAAAATATTGAAAAACCAGGTAGAAATACCATCAGAAATAGAAATAGAAAAATACCACCCTTAAAAGTTCAGTTAGTTCAGAAGTTAAATGAAGATAATCCTGATAGAAGGCAATAATTCTGTGAAATGATGATGGAAAGAATGAACGCAGATTTGCAGTTCATAAGCAAAATTGTTTTTTCTGCCGAAGAGATGTTTTAGTTAAACGGAACGGTTAACAAACATAACTGTAGATATTGGAGCAGAGAATATCTCACTGGGTATGTCAGATTTACACGCAATATCCTAAAACAGTTAACGATTGGTCTGGTATCATTAACAATAAAATTATCGGTCCTTATTTTTTTGAGGGGCAGTTGATGGTGAGGTTTATCTAGATTTTTTGATTAACTGTTTAGTGCCTACATTACGAAGATTTTTTCCTAATGTTATTCATCGAAATGAAATAGATCGGCCTATTTACTACCAACAAGATGGAGCTCCACCGTATTTTGCACTTATAGGAAAATTGAAAGACGTGGAACGATCGAATGTCCGGCTAGATCCCCGATTTAACTCCTCTCGATTATTTTTTATGGGTTTATTTAAAATCTAAAGTATATTTTAATAGATCAAACAGTATTGCTGATTGAAAAGTTAGGATAACGGAAAGAAATTAACAAAATAACTCCCGGAGTCGTACAAAATGTTGTACGATTATTCCAAAATCGCCTCGGGTATTGTCAAGAAGTGAATAGTGATAATTTTGAACATTAAATCAAATTATAAAGTACATTAAAAATATATTCTAAATATTATGTGACATTATTATCTTCATTCAACACAAAGTTTTGTGATAGAGACATTATCAAAATTTTACATTTTAAAATTTAGTTTTCTCAGTTATGATTGCACCAAACTAAAAAACTTTATGTTTTTGAACAGAGGACTAAAATCCCTTTTTAATAAGGTGCCATACGACACCGTTTGTTGTTTAAAATTTTCATGAGGGTGTTTATAACTCAAAGGGGGTGCTGAAGGGGGATAATATTTTTATACTCTAAATTGTCAATTTGAGAATAAAAATCGACATACCGCATGGTATGTAGCAATTTTAAATTTTTGAGAATTAATTTGTTTATTTTTGTCATGTATTTTGTTATGTATTACAAACCGTATACGCTATTAATTTAAAATGTAAGGAAAAAAAGCTATTAAAATTTATATATTACTGCAAAAATAAGAGTTTTTTGCAATTGTCTCGGTCAATAATTGTTCCCATATTTTAATTTGGAAACTTGAAAAAATTCAAGAGCTTTTAAGATCTAACTTTTATTTAAACCACTTTTTCTAAAATGTATAAGAAACGTTTTATAGGGAAAAATTATTTATTCACTTTATGTGATTGAAGTCCTTACGGATTTGTCATTAGTAATCCCTCACATACCTTTAGAATCTTTATAAAACCTTTTATAAAACAATTCTCAGCTCTTTTTTACTGGCCCACTATAAGAATAATCAAAAACATTTATTGGTAAGTAGCGCAGAAGCGTAGGAAGAAAATATTTACCTTTTAACAGAAGAGGTCCATTTTCTTTAAAAAGTCCAAACATGGAAGAAGATCCTGGTCCTCCTTGAAGCCATAGAATTACCGGATCAGAACTGGCATTGCCTTGTGAAGGAAAAAACCAGAAGAATAGATTAGAATTATGTTCTTTATCAACAGTTAAATATCCAGAGTAACTTTTAATATCCGTGTCCAATCCTTCTACAAGTGATTTATTTTGAGCTTCATCCAGTTTTCCTGCTTCAATCAAGTCGGTTAATATGAGAGGTTCTCCGGGATCTCCCGTTATTTTTGGGTTGAGTTTTCCATAGAGATCCTGAAATACTCGCTTTTTAAAACTATTGGGTTTCAAAGACTTTGAATCTACTAAACAAAATAAAAAAAGCACAAAACTAATACTGAGGAAACTCTTCATCTTGAAAGGCTTAAACATATGTGATAGTATTTGTTGGCGCCCGTATTTATATCTAAATCTTTATTTCAGAAAAGATATTAAATTAAAGGTGGGAGTTTATTTTCGATTCTTAGATTTTGTATTATCTTATATGTGTAGATTACAAATTTATAAAATACATATTTTTAAGAACGATTTTTGAAGTAGTACACTTCATTCAAAATTATAAGAACTGCCTTATGCAGAATTTAAAAGTATCCCGCTGATAAAGTCGAAGCCATAAAGAGATTTGCCTCTTCAGGTAAATAGTAAAAAAGTCCGGCTTAACGAATTTTATATTTTACTTGGCATTTACATAACATATTTAACCTTCGTCCGGTAACGTGAATTATTGTAGCATAGTTGGTAACGTCGGTCTACGACACCGACTTTTTTAATAATGAATATCTTACGTTGTGATTTTCTGTGAATATTTTGATGTGGCTAAATATTTAATATAACAACTATATTTAAATAACAATATAATAAGGAATGATCAATATTTATTTATTTTCGAGATAAAAATGAATATTAAAAAAAATTGGCTTCTATTAGGTACTAACATAATTGACAAATAATTTATAAAAACATGTCAACTTTTTTAATACAAAATATCAGTAAACATAAAGACAAGAGTTGAAATGTCACAAAAAAAAATAAAATTATTCAACAGATGTCCAACATAAACTGAAACTATTGTCCGTTTGCTTCCTCATTTTCTTCTACACTGCACACAACGCATTGTCCGGTTAAATCTTCCAAACACATATATTTGCCACACTGCCTACAAAGAAACCGAGTTTTGCGGTTTTTCTTACTACTGCAGAACGTACATCTTCCATACGCATTATTCGGGATAGGATGATTTCTTGTCTGCATGCCACAAATTTCCACTAACCTCATACGAATTGTCCTTGGAATATTTTGTTCTAGGGCTCGTCTGCGAATATGTTCGTCAATAAGTTGAAAGCCTAAGTCTTACAAAAACTTTCGTCTAGGAATGCGTGTGTCTGTATTCGATTTGTAGATAATGTAGGAATTTATCCCAGCGACATTCAAACAACTGTAAAAAATTACCATTGCCAGCGACGGGTTGCTCTAGCGCAATTGTATGCCGCGCAGAGTTCATCCACGACATCCACGCCTCCTTTAGTCTTATTATAATCTATGGTTATTTCTGGTTTACCTGTTGCATTATTAATGTTGTCGTCGTAATGCATAGTAGATAACAGTAAAACATTTTTACCTTTTCGGGGTACATACGATACAAGGGTACACTTCTCTTGAAATGCGAACATACTGGTTTTATTCTGGCCTTTGTTGTGTTAGCACTAGAGGAATTTGAGGTTTATTCTTTCGTAACGTTCCTATAACAGTTAGACGGTTCACACAGACGAGGTACAAGTGACATATTTGACGTATCAACAAAATATTTTCCTGCTGGCGGTCTACGAACATATTATACTTCCATCTTGGATGTATAATACATCTCAGCGTCTGCTAAAGCATATATTTTTATACCATAATGATTTGGTTTATTCGGTATGTAAGCCCTAAATGAACATTTGCCGCGAAAGGTTTCTAACTTTTCGTCTATCGTAGTATATGCTGAAAGATTGTAATACTTCGGTAGATTAGAATTAAAAGCTTAAAAAATCTCACTTATCGCGGCACTTGTTAAATTCTTGCCTTTGTATTCTAGTACTTTTGTCATCGAACCGAATGTGTCTTAAAATAAACTGGAATTTCTTTAGCGACATCGTAAGGCGATAAATCTCCATTGACCTTCCATCTGTTCAAAATAAATCATCAGCATTCTGATGATTGCCTTTGTTAGCGCCATATATGTTCAACAGCCCAAACAGAGCGTTTAATTTTATAAGATCAATTGGCCTCGCCGTTCTGTTATTGACTGTGTCATAGCGTTTCAATGCTATGAACTTATTGGTGCATTCTACTATTTTTTCTAGAATATCTGTAGTGAAAAATCATTCCCAAATCTCTTGTATCACCAATTTTCGCCTAATATCACCTTTTGGTCCTGCCAGATTGGATAGAAGATTTTCAGCACGAGTTCGAACGTTACGATTCAATTCATGATGCTTCCTCCACTTTGTTCCATCATTCCCAAACAAACGTGGTATGCGCGGTGTTACTTCTACTGGTACATAATTTTCGACATTTTCTTCATCACAGAAATCCTCCTCTGAATTGGTATCATATTCTAGAACTTCTAAACAATCGTCTTGCAAACTTGCGTCGTCATCATGAACTTTGAAAAATTAAAGGCAGATATTGAGCAAGGGTTATTGGTTGTGTATATGCGGAACCTTTCACTGAATTGGAAGACGGTGAGGATGTTGAACGGATTTAAACCCGAAAAGCACCTGGCATAGATTGAGCCATGCCGGAGACATTAAGACTCGCCGCACTAAAATACCCGCCGATTTTTCTGAGATTGCTAAACATACTGCTTGAACAACAGTATTTTCCAACAATGTTAAAAGGAGCTAAGGTTGTCCTTATACCGAAATGTAAAGGTCAAGAGCAAGAAGCACGATTTTGGTCAATTTGCCTTCTGAGTTCGATAGAAAATTGTACGAACCGATTATAAAAGGCCGCCTTGAATGAGAGCTAGCAGAAAAGCATGCACTGAGCGATCGCCAATATGGTTTTAGGGTAAACAGGTCTACCATAGATGCGGTTACAGAAGTACCCTCTTTAGTTACGCAAAATACAAAGAGATGGGTGGCTCTCATCCTGCTCGACATCAAGAATGCCTTCAATACGGCATCATGGGAAAAAATCATGTCCACGCTAAGAGAAACAAATACCAGCATCAGTTTGTTGCAGGGTGTTCCGCAAGGTTCAATATTAGGTACCATCCTGTGGAATGTCCTGTACAACGAGGTGTTGAAGCTACAGATGCCAAGGGGATGCACTCTTGTAGCTTTTGTCGATGATCTCGCACTGGTTGTGAAGGCGAGTCAGAAAACGGACATGGCTAATGCGGCTAATACAGCCCTGCCTCGCATTAGTAGGTGGATCAGAGAGAACGATCTACAGCTAGCGCCTCAGAAAACTAAGGTGTAAGTTCTCAAAGGAACCCGGGAAAGATCCTCTCTTCGCTTCATAGTGGAAGGTGTGGAGTTTGCATCGAAATATCTGGGAGTCTGGTTGTCGGAAGGTCTAAGGTTCCTTATTGATCCGTATTGTACCGATACCGATCGTTTTGTTGTGTAAAGAGCGAGCGAGTATGTATGCCAGGAGGATGAATGTAAATATACATAAGAATGAGAGAGAAAGAACGATAGTAGAGTGGCAGAGAGAATGGGCGAATGATAGTGGAAAGGCAAGGTGGACGAAGGAGCCTATTCCCGATCTAAGACCGTGGTGGGAATGTAAGTTCAGTAACCTAGACTACTTCCTGACGCAGTTTCTTATCGGACATGGTAGTTTTGGCACCTTCACAAATAGAATAGGCAAATCTGTCTCAGCAGACTGTACTGTTTGTGGGGTACCGGACGCTCCCGCTAACATTTTTAACTGCCAGAGATGGGCAAATGAGGTGTGAGATTTTGAGAGGCGAATGAGTTTCGGGCTGAATGAAAGAAATATTGTAAACATAATGTTGAGAGGAGAAAAAAAATGGGAAGAAGTACACTGGCTGATTTCTGGGATGATGAAGAAAAAGAAGCAGGAGGACAGAGGAGGAAATTAAGCCAGGGATCTAAAAATTTATAGTTAATATTATTTATTAATTTATGGCCTAACATCTAAACATTCTATGATTTGCGGTAAGAGGTATGATTATTTATAATTTTTTAGTTTTTTTATTTTAGTTGTTTATTGAGTGGAAAGACCACCTTTCTGGAACGGTGGTTAGGTTTTAGCCGGAACACGGTTAATTCGGCACTACCTTGGGGTCTTCTGGCTTAGTATTCCTCTCGGCCGAAAGATAACAAGGTGTCTTGTTCCGTGACGTAGAAGTCCAAAAAAGATTTCCCCTGCCGTTGCCTGTCAGAATTCAGTTAATACCTTCTTAGGCTCTTACTGGAATCTGTCAATACAGTAATTAAAAAATATATATATCGAGCACAATTGTTCTCTTCTGTTGCCGACAAGAATGTAGCTTCGAATAATTTTTAAGTAATTTTAAACTGTTTGTCCCTGTTTAGTGTTGTGTTATGTGCAACTTATGTTTTATTTTCATGTTTGTTACATTCTGTGCTTGCTAGATAGCCCAAATTTGACGAAATACCCTTGATAATGCTTAAGAAAGCGAAAGTACTTGGGCAAGATTTGAATAATAAAATTGTGCTCGATATCTGCCTTTATTTTTCAACGAATATGACTACAGTCTATCCCAAACCCTTTTTTCAGTGCGTCACTAATTTTAACGTCATATAGGATTTTAAGAATGTCGAGAATTATTGCATGACATTTTAGTTAAATCTGACAGTTGCAGGATCGTAATCGGCTAAACGTGAAAAGGTTATTTTTTTTTAATGCATAGCAGTTTTTCATAATTCTATTCTATTCTGTTCTATTTTATACATTTCATGGAAAGTGCTTAATTAGCTAAGATTTGTTTATGGATTTATTATTATTTATTACAAACACTAGGGAATTGGAAGGTTTGTTTATTTAAAATAACGCTTCCTCCTAGAATCTTTTAAGAGTTGACTGCAAGGTAAAAAAATTTACTGACAATTGCAAGGCATCAAAGTAAACATTCTTGTGATAAAATAATATCGATTTAAATCAGTCATATTTGGATAAGTAATTTTCTGATAAGTTTGTGTGGCAGCCAATAGTTTAATTTTGTGAAGAGTTGTCATTAAATAGTGGAAATAGTTTAAATAGTGAAGCAGTTGATTTTTTAGTTATTCTACCAGATTTGGTGTGCAAATGAAAGAAGGTTATAAAGTGTAGTTAAAAAAAACAATATAAATAGTTTAAATAGTGAAGCAGTTGATTTTTGAGTTAATCTACCAGTTCCGA